GTGGAGGTTTCCCCTGAGGAGTTTCCACTACCATTAGGACGTTCAGCATGGATTGGAGACAGAACTTCAACGCTCGGACAACTAAAATCACTAGACGATGACCCCTCGGATGACGATGGCTGAGAGCTGCTGGCCGAAGAGCTTTCGGAAATCTCAACCATAACAATAAACACTTACCAAGTTTTTCGAAGCACAACTTCAAGCACTCGGCACACTCGATTTGGTCTCGGATTCATTCAGACAGTACACCTCGGATGAAAGCAATACGCGTGGGGGGGGGGGCTCTACCACTCATTACTATTTATAGCCTCGAAAAAAGGCGGGAAAATTCAAAAATTCAAACTCGTAATCGTCAGATCTTCAAGATCCAACAGATTAGATTGTACAACCTTTCGACTTACCCATGGATCGCACTTTCAACTTTATACCCTTGAAGAGTTTTTTCTCCTCTCCAAGGCTGGGGGGCAAGTGTACGGATAAAGACACTCGGCCATCGGATGGCCAAGATCGACCACTGAGTGGCCGAACTTAGTAGTCGACACGCGTTCGACCACCGAATAGCCAAAGCTCCAGGTGCAGTACACCTTGGAGTCAAGAATCATCCTTAATCACCAATTAAGGGTTAATCACACCGATAAGCTGATTAGGGACGTATTACCTAATGTGGTAATCCTATTGCAGGGCCCAGGGAAGTCAGGGCCCATTAATGTCAATATAAATAGCCCTTGTCACGAGGTAACGTCATTGTTCATTAATTATTATAGATATTTGTGCTTGTCTTGACTTGAGCGTTAGAGTGCCTTTTGCAGGTACCTTCCCTCTCACCGGAATATTCGTTCGGAGTTCTCGTTCGTCCCTCAAAGTACGAGAAGATTACTAGTGTGCCCTTCAGACAAGTACATGAGGTATTAAATAAAAAAACTATTACAAGAAATTATTATAATTACTTAAAATTAAGAGATTGAAGTTGAATAAAAAATTGTGGAGAATTGAAAAAAAAAACACGAGTCATAATAAAAGAAATATTTATGATAAAGCTATAATTTTTGGGCTTTTTATAGGGCACGTTATTAATGGCAGTGGAAAAAGGCAATAAAAGGTTTCGTTATGGAAAAGAATAGGTTAGACAGCTCATTAGTCATTTAGAGTCCAATGGTTAATTGCATTAGACGTGTTTTTCCATGATTTTATTTTTTTACTAAATAAGCTAGACAATAATTTTAAAAAAATCTTATTTAGTTAAGAATATTAGAGAAACTTTTCTTTGATTGTGTAATCCGATCTTTTGATCGAAAGTTAGAAACTAATCTTTTAAAATACATAAATTTATTTGAGAGACCGATTTTTTTAATAAATATTTTTTATTTACATGATCTTAGGGATCAAATCCTCAATTACATGTTTAAGTGGAATAATTATCTCTTAACACAATAAAGTTGAGAGATCTTAAAACATAATCTAACATTTTTCTTTTGGTGTAAATTTTTTTTAATCACACTCTATTTTATTAGTTAATATTTACTTAAAATTATAAAATTTTGTACCAACTTTAGATTTTAATCATTGGATGAGAACTATTATACCTTATACCACGTTCAAGTTGCATATAAAATGTCTTACACAGTATAATTTTAATTAAATAGGTTCTTCAAGTTACGCTATTTTTTTAGATTAAAAGAAAACACTAGGCTATACATTAGGGAAATAGGCTTCAAATAAATAGGAGAACTTAGCAATGGGTTTTTTAAAGTAAGTTATAAGACAAGGTAAAACGTAACTTGACATAATGCATAACTTTACCAAAAGCTATCTCAAGAGAACTAAAGTGGTGTAGGTAAAAAAATGAAGTGATATATATTAAGACCATTTAGATCAAATTCATTACTGTTAAAAAAATTGTAACTGATAAAAAAAATTAAAGAGAACACATTCATTATATTTTTATTATTAAGTTTTTCAATCAAATAACCTGTTGATATTCCTTCAAAAAAAAATTGTTGCTATTTTGTGTATCTATCTATCTGTCTGTCTATATATATATAATTCTATTACTTACATTTAATTGAGTTTATTTATTATTGTACAGAACACTACTAGAATTTCTCTTATTACATGCGACTTTTCTTGCGAATTTTTCATAAAAATTCGCAGGAAACGTTGTTTCTGCAAATTTTCCTGCGAAATTTTATCTGCAGGTAATACCTTCGTGGATAATATTTTTTTGCGAATTTTAAAATTCGTAGGAAATTTTCCTGCGAAATTTCTTGCGAAAAAAATTCGCAGGAAACTTTCCTGCAAAAAAAAATTTGCAGCAAAGTTTCCTGCAAAAAAAATTCGTAGGAAAATTCGCAGGAAAGTTTCCTGCAAATTTTTTCGCAAGAAATTTTGCAGGAATATTTTTTATGAAAAAAATTAAAAAAAATTACTATAAATTCTATCAATAATTTTTCAACTTTCAAATGCTCACAATGAATTCATCCGAAGAATTTGTTTCCATGCCTCCAACATGTGAATGTGATACATAATCTTTTAAATTTTAAGATTGTAGATTATAAGCCTAATACTCAACCATATAAATCAACTTGTAAGGTAAGTGTTGCCCCAACTTATATACTATTTAATTACTTTATTTTCAATCGATGTGGGACTTGAAGTTTTTTTAAAATATTAAACTTATAAATTTTATTTTTTTTTTTAATTTTTCCTGCGGATTAAAATTTGCAAGAAAGTTCGTAGGAAAAGTTACCTGCAAAATTTTTCTACCATTTAGTAAACATTACTTGCGAATTTATTTTTGCAAGAAAATCTGCAAGAAACAAAATGAAATTCTTACAATATTTTCTGCAAATTTTTATTACCATGGAAAAAAATTTCTATGATTATTAAAATTGTAGCAAAATTTGTAGGAAATATCTGTAAATTATTTTTCGCAAATAAATTCGCAAAAAATTTCTGCAAATATTTTTTTACAGGAAAATTCGCAAAAAATTTCTGCGAATATTTTTTTGCAAGAAAATTCGCAAAAAATTTCTGCGAATATTTTTTTACAGGAAAATTTGCAAGAAAATGACACTTTTCTAGTAGTGGAACATTCACTTTCTCCTATTTGTTATTCAACGGAATATAATGTTCAACGTCTGATCTCAAGTTCTATATAAGCACATTTAAAGTACTATTTTTTGTACACTTTCAGCACCAAATTTCTTTACGGAGAAATACTAGAACGGAATGTCACATGCTTTCGTAAGTTAAATTTTGGTGGGTGTATCTAAAAACATTGGATTTACAAATTAGTGTGTAAATTCTAAATGGGGGGGATAAAGTTAGAGAGACATTAAATTCCTTGGACCCTTTAGGATCTCTTAATATCATTATTGAATTAATTAATATATTGTCTTGGTATTTCATAAATGAGGTGGCATGAGAAATATCTCAATGATCAAATTTACCCAAATCGTCACCTCCAACAAAATATTACCTATGATTTAATGTTTCATGGCTATATTACTGTTTATATATATGCTACTTGAACATTCATGATTTATCTGGTTAAGGTGTAATTGATGATTATGGTCATCAGGTCAATGCATTAGCTTATTAATCCCAAATACTCTAAAATAGGTCCAAAACAATAAATTGACCTTTTCAAACTCCATTGTGATTGGAAACCCTTTTTATTTTTCTCACCTATCAAAATTGACTTCAAAGAATAAACAAGCTACGCCTTAAAAAAAGAAAAACAGAAAAAAGAAATAAGGGAAAACTAACTACATGAAGAGGCAAATAATATCCATTCTGATTAATGTCCATTTTTTTAAAAATATATTATAAGAAAAAGTTATTACATGTGATTTGATGAAAATTAAGAGTTTAATGGTTATATATACTGTTAGTTTAAAAAGCTTTTCTCTGTCGAGTATGAACCATCTAGAAAATTTAAAAAAAATTATTGTTAGTATAATTTTTAATGTAATTATTATAAAAGCATAACCTATTTTTCCGGAAAATAAAGCTTATTATTTACATTGATATGTGGCCCTTTAACCTATTCAATTTTATATAAGATGATGAGAACGAAAATGTTTGGCATTCGACCTTTATATACTTGTGTACAATGACGGTAAATTTTCTAAAACTTGTGACTTTACTTGTGAAATATGTTTTTCTTATCCCAAGCTTTTTCTTTAAATATCTGTATGACCAATTTTTAATGTGTTTATATTCAACTGTATTCACAGAATGACTGTGTCCCTATGTAAAATAGCAGAAAAGAAGGGGACAATCACTAGTTGGTAATCTTCGAAACAGCTGTTTGCTCATTATGTTTGTCATTTGGCATAGCACACAAAAGAAGATACATCAAATTAGGCAAAAGCCAATTTAAGTTTAAGTGATAAGTGCCTGAAATAGTACTGTGCAAGCGTAATGATAGGTATGACGGAATAGTTTGTGGTCCATCACGTACTATTGAGATTTTCCATTTTACACCTCTCACACTTCACCTTTCACGACAGCTAGCCAATCAATTTCATCACAAACCACCTTTTTTAATTTTGCAAGCAAACCCTTTAATTTCATAAAAGCTTTCAAGATTAGAGGATGAGATCATACGTTCATACCATAATATATAATCAGTCTGAGATTTGAGCTTAAAGCTAGCTAGCTCTCCCAACATCATGCATGCAATTTCCTCTACGTCTTTGTCGTTGTGCTATTTTTTCATCGCTCACAAAATTGATTACTATAGGATTCTCTTATTATATGTCAAATAGTTTCTTAGTATCCACCAATCATTTTTTTCCCACTAAAATTGGACTCATAGGTTTAAACTTCACTATATTACTGTTGTACACTTGTACTGATAATATAAGAAAGTAAATCTCACATTTTCCCATCAGTCTTTTTCCTTTGGAAACAAAAATATGAAAAAGTTAGCTTGTACTCATTTATTTGTTTTAGATGAATGTAGCTACGTAGGGGGTGAAAAGAGAGAGAGAGGGTGAGGGATAACACAAAGCAATTAGTACTGTAGCATATGGCAAGGTAGTTGCACAACAAGAAATGATTAATCAGCACACGAAATTCTAACTGTAAGTTCGTATAGGGGGTGGCATTGATGTGCCATCGCACCTTTAGCTGACACAATCGAAAGACTTGGCTTCTTACAGAAAAAAAATAAAAGGGGATAAATGGAAGAAAAAGAAAAAGGTACAAATAATTAAAAGCCAATCTCTTTACACGCGCATGTATGATCTCAAAGTATCACAATAAGAAACTAGAGGAGCTACTTATACGTACTTATGCCTTGTGAGGGGGACACTGATAGCACTTTGCAAATAGCCCAAATGTGTCAATTTGGTGTATGAAATTAATCATGCTTGCCCATCCTCCCAACCCAAATCCTACCACCAAAACCCACACCACCACAAACACGTTCATGGAGTACAATCCTACCCAACCTCCTAACCTTGATGGTGGTCTTTCCACAGCATTCTGTCAAGAAATTAAACAAAAACAAATGTAATTAAAAAAGAAAAGAAAAACAAAAGGAATGTAACTAGACCAGCTGGCAAATAATAAGCATCAAGTGAAGCATGGGATGGAGAAATTATTAAGAAATTCTCAACCAAATAATCTATAACTAGATTCTTCGTGACAAGTAATCAAATGTTATTAAATATTTTCGTAGATTAAAAAATTTAAATATATGTCATATTGATCGATCAAGATCACAGACAATTCGATGATATTTGATTACTTAATAATTTCTCTATTAGATGATGCAGCATGTGTGTGTAAATTTTTTATAAAAAAAAAAAAAAAAACCACTTCTAGCTAGGTGCATGTGTCTAACCTCCCTAGCAGGTGCTGAAGCAAAGGTGACCATGTGTGCCATTGCAGGAATTATGTAAACAGTGAAGCTGACTAGGAGAGATCCAACAGTTGAGTTAATGGGACCAAAGAAAGGGAATATGATTGCCAGGAACCATATTGGAATCACAACAGGAAGTCTAGCCAACGCCCTTTTGAACAAACTCTTGGTTTCATGCACTCCAATGAATTTCTCCCACACGAAGTATAAAGGAGTGCAAGCAAACCCAAAAGTTATGAACTGCAAAACAGTAAACAAATTATTTATTCAATATAAGCTCTTATCAAACATCATATTCATAATTACATTGAGTGTAAACTTACTGAAATAAGATGACAAGAGCTTGTACGGCACTAGTTACTTTTATAAGTTAAATAAGTTCTAGTAAATGTTTTATAGTTTAAAATTAAAATAAAATATGCATTTTTTTGAATGATATGACTAACCTGGTGAATGAGCATGAGAACAACAGCGGTATCTCTGAAGCCTGTCCTTGGGAGCAATGAGAGAGCATTTGAATGGGTGAGAAGCATATCTCCAAATGCCCAATAGACTGCAGATGCTGATGGCAAAGTTAGTGTCAGCACATATAGGGTTGCGATCAGATATATCATCTTAAACTTCTGTGGCTTCCACATTGCATGCATAATTTCCCTACAATATATATATCAATACATGTCTGTCAGATTCATATCTATATAGCGCATGAAGTCATAAAACTTTTTATCTGACAATATACTCAATTATAAATCCCAATACAAAGCTAGGACAATAATATTCTTTAATTTCTCAAACATCATGTTATATATATAGTATTACGAGAAGAAACCCTTTAATTATAACTAAAATAATTTGATTTAGCTTTTGAGTCCTCACACTGTAACAGCATGTCCACCAAAAGTGTAGAGAATGTTGGTAGCCCCAGCGAAATAGAGAACCAATTTGGTTGGGCCTGAGTGCTTCACTCCCTCAACCTTCAGAAACATACAGAATACAATAAGAAATATAATAATATACCACATGTGTTAGCATTCGTTGAATGAATTTTTTTTATACTATTTTTTGATGCTGGTAAATAATGATTCCTTTACCTGTCCGTGAACAAGGGAAGCTATGGTCATATACCATGCAGTGTATGTGGTCATAATGAGGCCCGAGAATGACCAGATTCTGTAATTGTGGAAAGAAGGGATGAAGACTGTTGTTGCACAGCATGCGCCAAAGATGTAAGTCCAAGTTCTCTTGTCCAGATTGTCATTTATGTAGTATATGTTACTGAAACATTTGTTGTATATATAATGTTTTAGTTTATAATGTACATGTACAGATCATGTGTATTCAAAACCGTGATTCATTGCCTACCTTGCACAAGCAATTAGTTGAATTACTGATCCAAACAGAAGGAAAGTACAGTTGAAAAAGAGACCAAGATTCCTCCAGTGTTTGCCCAAAAGTCCATCAAGCACTTCAAACCACTGCAAACGGTCAAAAGAAGTTCCAAGATTAGAAGAATCTAAAGTAACCCACTACCACTAGGCTATTAGTCTCACTCTCACATTGATTCATTCAAGAGAAAGAATAAAATGAAAACTATAAATTATAATAACCTGAATAACATGGTTTCTGAAATCAACTTTTTCTCTCTCCTTTCTGGTTCTGTACTCAACATAAAGGACACTGATAAGGTAAGCAGTCCAGCTTCCCATAAGTCCGTAAAAAAGCTGAAATATGATCCCAGATAACATCCCCAGTTGTGAAAAGGAATATGGCAGTGTCAGTAGCACTTGTGCAACCTATATGAAACACAACACAAAATCAAGAAAATTATTATGAGACCGTTGCCGCACCAAAAGAAGGTTCTGCTTCTAGAGGAAAAAGACTAATGCAAACAATGATAATTTTGTGAGTAAGTGCCTGATTAGAAGCACAGCTAAACCATGCATCATACACAGAACCACCATGCCAAAAGAGCCTAGATAATTTGCCAGTAGTAGACTTAGAACCCTCCTCTTCCCTCTCCATTTCTAAGTAATTCCCAGCAACCACCGTCTCAACCTTCTCAGAAGCCATTGTTATCTCTCCCTTTAAGTATTGTGGGGAAGACAACAGACTAAGTGAGGAAAGATAGATAGAAAGGAGAGAAGTGTTTGTTTTGATTCACCCTTTCACATTCTTGTGTAGCTTCCCTTTCCTTATATAAACTTTTTTGTCACAAGGTAGTGTATGTGAATGGCCTTTGGTGGGGACCTTGCTTAGTTCACATGTAATCAGCCTTTTTCCTTAATAATTCTCTCTCACCAATTGCCTTTATGAAGGTTCAACTTCATCATCAGTTTTGTAAGCTCTGATGGGCCAAGGCTAGCTGCAGTGCACGAGCGGGGTGGCCCACCATTGGCCTGTGCTTTTCTTTAATCTGAGAGAACCCATGCACATTGATTGATTATGAGTGTAGAGATAAAAGCAAGTTAAAGAGAGAAATTTTGTGCAGAAGGAGATTAGAAAAGGTTCTAGTGTGAGTGATGAACATGTCTATGTGGGGGAGACTAAGATGGAATGAATCATTGCTTTCAAGAGGGGCTTAGTGCTAATCATGATTAGTACCACACGTGTTCCAACTGGCTTTACTAAAAGAAAATTCTATCAAAACCCCAGCTCTCTTCTTTTCATTTTCACTTTTTTCGTTTTCGTTTATGTTAGATTTTCTAATGTTTTGCACATTTGGGCCATTGCAAGTGGCATATGTTCTAAGTGCCCTATAAAGTAACAAGAATTTCGCATCTTCAACATTCCCATTTTCAAAGTATATCGGGCATTATATGTCATAGAGCAAAACTTGTTATAGATAATTTTCTAGTATATATACACTTTTATGGCCAATACACATTGTTTGGATGGATATAAATAAAGTTTAGATTTTAAACATAAAATTTGTAAGATTTAACATCTTGATTTATATTTAATTTTATAAAATTGAATTATAAGATCATTTATATACATTATTATAACCTTATAACATATTTATATAATTTTCAACATATACACCTTATTTCGACTACTTCCATTATTAAGGCTCTAATTCTGAGTTCCAATATTGATAATTGTAACTTAAGAAACTTGTACTATATAATTTGTATAAATTTTAGTTCATAATGAATATTTTGACAGCACTGCATTAATGAAAGAGTACAGATAATACTAATGAGTACTTCAACATTAATTAGTTATACTAATAGAGTCAAATAATTCGTAAACTTACAGTTCAATGAATATTTTGACAGGTTTATGAAAATTTTAATTTCGAGGTCTTAGGTATGACATCCTTATCTTCTAGTCAAAAAGTGATGCAAAAAAAAAAAAATGAAAATGAAAGGTGGAAAGTATCTTGAGATGGGCGTTATATCAGATTTGATTAATAGTTTCCGGGATGGCCCAACACCTACCAACCCATTAGGCCCAGTCCCAGAGAACTGTTGGACTGTTATTGGATGAACTAAAAATTATAATCTTTTTCCTTTTTCTCTCTTGTTAAAAGTTCAAAACGTACATAATTTTTCGGAGTGGGTTAATTAACTTTAATTTACGCAATGATTTGTGTCAAAGCTTTTGCTAGACTGCTAGTCATCTTTCCAAAAGGTTGAAAAAATCTTAAAAGCAGTCGTCAAAATAAAATGTTACTGTTTATAATCACTCGACTCAAATAGAATAATTTATAAAAGATATCTATCATTTATAGCAGAACAGATAAATAAATGAAGCCTTAGATTGAATTTTTACTGTCGTTATTATAATCTTCTCTAAAAAAAACTATTACTTAAAACTATAATGGCTCAATGGACTTTGTCGCTTGCATATTTTGGCTACTTCAAACTATAACAGTCTAAGAAACTGAAAAAATAAAAGTGAGTCCATAATAAACTAGTGATAAAATGTTTTAGTAGGTCATAATGTGGGCACAGTGAGTTCCCACCCTATATGAGCAATCATTGAATTTATAACGCATCAAGCAAATGGTTGCCAGTTTGCCTTTGATCATGAAAACCATATGAATCACACTTTCTCTGATACACTAGATGGTAAGGATTAAAGTTAAAACAATCAATCACTTTATTTAGAAATTATAAAATGATCACAAAGATTGGAAGGTCATTTCTGGTGAGTGAAACTTGATTTTGATGGTGATGGCAATAGTTAGGTTCTTACCCCACCTTGCATAAGGACCTCTTTCTTGATTTCTGACTCGGATTTCATCGATTAGACGATTAGGGACCAATAAAAGAATCAAAAGGGAGGACGCACCCCTCTTTGACTTCGGTTCTTGCTATGCACACATGAACTTTTTCAAAAAAAAAAGTATGTTATCATCAATCAAGTTTTTTCATTTGATTGGACGCAGAAAAAAAGCCGTGGCATGAGGCACTAGGTGCTAAATGATAACATTAATTAGTGTGACATTGTTAAACAAGTAAAGGTAATTAAGATGAGGACATGATTTGATTCTAACTGCATGCAAAGCATTGAGATCTGAAAATGTTAAAATGGGTTTATCAATTCTCAATGTTAAGGATGAAATAATTAAGGGGTTTTTGTGAATTAAGGCATGGACATCGATGATAGGAGTCATGGGTCCTCCAGCCAAGCAACATGCACTGTTGTTGTCAGATCCAAAGGGAAGAAGTGCGTGTATTGGTAACTTGCCAGGACTATATCTATGGCATGGGACCTCGCTTTTCGACACAGATTTTTGTGTAAACAAGATTTGTTGCAAGATATTGTGGCCTTTCTATTTAACATGGGGTCTTCACAATGTGATATTTTTATTAGCCCTCGCGCTGAATGCGGTAGATATGTAACTTCCATACAAATCTATGGCCTAAACGACATTAAATTTAGCCCAAACTTTTTTCCAAAATATATCAGATTAAAATTTAAACATTTTATGAGTCTCGAAACAGGGATTTAACTCGCCTTAAGATCTCAAAAAAAAAAAAAAAAAAAAAACTCCCCTTAATATTGAACTTGCATTTTGAGTATTGTAATACTTTTATAGGTATGCAGAGAGATCTTGAAATGGAACAACAATTTTAACAATTGTGACATATGCCGTATAAATTACATTAGAGAAAGAATATTTATTTTGTATGTTCATATCTCTGACAGAAATTAATTACAGTTTCTAATGGGTGTAAAAATAAATAAATAAATAAATAACTTAGAAGTTATTGCTTAATGTGCAAAATTTTTCTAACAACTGTAAGTCTTTACTCTAGCCTATGTGTTCAGGAAACAAGAGGATGACAAGGAATAAATTTACCAGCCTTAATTCATAGTGAGAATTTTTATGTCAAGAGAATCTTATGGTCAAATTCATCAGTGATAATTATTTTCCTAAATCCTAAGTGAGGTCTATCTTGGTGGAAGTTAAATTATTTTATTCATTTAGGATGTTTCACCATAAAAACCGTTTTAGGCCTAAATAAAATCTCAAGCGTATGGTTCAGCGGTAGGGGTTGATCCACGCTTAAGCAAGGTCAGGGGTTCGAATCCTGCCTTGTGTATGCAGCCGCGTTAAATCTTGGGGCCAGCTATCCCACCCTTTGAAGTGTCTCTAACGTAGCGAGGAGATTAGTCACTGCTGTCGGCGGTAGATACTCCCGGAACGAACCTAAAAAAAAACCGTTAGATCATCTCTAAATGTTCAAGTAAGGGAGTTAGTATAGGTTTTTTCTTAAGGAAAAACAACTTGATCTGATGATCTCTATAAAAGTGGGTGTTCATAGCTTTTGTTAAGTCTTGTGTCAGACTGGCAGGTGTTCATAGTAAAATGGATCAGATCTAAACAAATTGTGGCTTCAAGCTAATTGGATTTGGGCCCTTAAGTTAGTCCAGAAGTCTAACAATTTTACGAATCAGATTTTTTTAAGTTTTATATAAAATAAAATTATTATTTTAATTAATTATTTCATTTAAAGATACTTTTATTAGATAATTACATTATGGAGATAATTACAAATTACTACCAAATTTTCTTTTAAACAATTAGAATACTTAAAATTTATAAGTTCATATATTTTTATTATAAATAAAATAATATGCACATTAATTTATTCTTTTAAATATTTTTTATTTTTTATTTATAAGTATCTATACATTATATTTATTAGTTTTTAAACAACTCATTAAATAAATATAAGTTTTTGTAAAAGTTTTAATACAAAGTTATAAGATTGAGAACTTGAGAATTTAGATCGTCTAACATACATTAGTGTGTTTGATTTGTCAAAATATACGGGACAAGATAAAACGAACCATTTTTATCTCATGTTTGATTTTAAAAATACTTTTTGGGACAACATAAATTAAGGACTACGAGACATGACAAAAATTTAACTTTTTTGTTATTCAAATAATTACGGAACAACTTTTTATTTTATGTATAAACTCAAAACATCAACATATCTCCACTGTTTATTATTTTTTATTATTATTGTAAATTGTTTTTAAAAAAATCATATTAAAAGGGTATTATTGTAAAAGTTATATTATTTTACTTGTACTGTCCATAATTCATCAAACAAGGGTATTATTGTATAAGTAAAAAATCTGTTCTATGACTTAAATAATTGTCCTATAGTATTCTTCTTTTTCTGTATCTCAAGGTGAACCAAATGCACCTTTAGACAATTGAATCTATAGAGAAATGTTCATAAAAATAGTTTAAACCACAACTCAAGTCTTTTGAGAAAGATATGTGAAAATAGTTTAAAAACAATTTAAGTTGTTGATTTTGTTTTATGTGTATTATAAAATAATTCTTATATTTATTTCTTTTAATATATCCTTTTCATATTTGTTTCTAAAATAATATTTTATTATTTAAAATTATTAATAGTTAAAAGTTTGTTTATAATAAATCTTAAATATAGTTTCTATGATAAAAAATTTGAAAATTTTTAATTATAATATAATTTATTAAAAAATTAGTTAACATATTTTTAACATGTTTTAGCATGTGAAATACACAAGATATATTTTTATTTTATTTAATATAACTAAATTTTATAATAAAAAATATTTATAAATATATAAATTATGTAATAATTATTTTTTGTAAAAATAAATAATTTATCATATAAATCATGTTTAGGATTTATGATAAATAATTTATAGAATAATATAAAATTACTTATAATATTGATAATTAAAAAACAATCAAATTTAATTCCAAAAACTCTTTCACTTAAGAAAATTTTAGGTAAGAATATTGGTGAGACCGAGATTTAAACACTAGATAACTTGATTAAGTGATACAAACGGTTATTTGTAATTAACTAATGATAGTATTTATTGCTTTTTATTTCTATTTTAAAATTAAATTTCAGTAATTTTTAATATTGATAATTAAATTTAAATTTATATAATAATTTAAAATTTTCATTACAAGTCTAAAATACAAACTGTATATTTAAAATAATTATTTATTATTAATTAATTATAATATAATTATATTTAAAAATATTTATTATTACTAATTTAAGGTATATGAAAATAAACATAATTTTTTGTCCTAACACAAATCCTTTCTGAAAAATATTTTATAGTAAAGTAAATATATATTTTTTTACACGAAAAAATAAACATATTTAGATACAGACAGAAATGAATATTTGAAAGAAGAAGAAAAAAAAAATAGAAGAGAATATTGAATATTGTGATTGATTTTGCGAATATGAGCTCAGCGTTCCGCTTTAGTATGTCGTTTTAAGTTAAACGACAATTGCGTGAAAAGTACGGTATATGATGAAGGGGTGGATAGTTGAGGAATTTGGCAGATCGTTAGAGGAGTGGGAAAATGGCGGGTGGTGGAAAGGTGTCGTTCAAAGTAACACTGACATCCGATCCAAAGTTACCCTTCAAAGTGTAAGTGTATCTATCTATCTATCAATCTCATGTTATCGCTTCTCAAATCTCAACAGTTTTTCCCCTAATTCCCAATTTATGAATTTCTTTCAGGTTTAGCGTTCCAGAGGCTGCACCTTTTACTGCCGTTCTCAAATTCGCTGCCGAAGAATTCAAAGTCCCTCCCCAGACCAGCGCTATCATCACCAACGGTAATTAATCATCTCATCTTCAATTAGATCAATTTCCCCCTTTTATTTGTTAGTTATGTTGCGAGTTTTAGGATATTCATTAGGGTTTTCTTTTATTCGGAAAATCACGTTTTGGTTGTGTGATGGTGGTAACGGGACGTATGGTGGATGCCTTTTGCTGTGATTTCAGTCATATCACGTTTTTCCTTCCTTGGGCATCTTCTGGCCTTTGGGGATTACAAAAGCTTGGCCACCCACACACCTGACTTTGGATTAATGTTAATTATATTGTTGTCACAGTGCATGTGCTTTATTTTTACTTTTCAGCTTATCTGTGTTCGCAAATATCAAACAAAGTAAAAATGAGAGAATATTTTTCTATAAAGAGTATACATACGATTTCCTCCCTAAAAGTGAAAGTTTATGTGTATATAACTTTATCCCGAATCTATCAACTCTATCACAAATGTAGTCCTCAAATTTGATCAACTGCATGAAAAACTGACTTGTTATGAAATTTATGGATTGGGAGATAAATTGTATATATCCCAACTAAATATACAAATTTGTCCCAGAAAGTGGCAAACTGTGTTTGGTTTGGTTGGTAATAGATTACATGTTTTGCCGTGTTCGCATGTATATAATAATGTAATTCCCAAATCATAAATTGACAAATTCACTAAAGAAGACTCGTTTGTCATGAAGTTGACAAATTCAAGAACTAAGTTATTGTATTCGCACAGACTTTTAACTATCAAATCAACAAAGGAACTTTTGGAGACGTAATTATATATTTATTCATAATATAGTAAAAAAGAAGGAATTGAAGGAACATGGTGTTTTATATCATTCTGTGTTTTGAATGTAGCTGAAAATGTCATGATTATTAGATGAATCAAAACTTGGTAGTTCTCAGCTCCAAAGTGTTGGCCACATTTCATACTGTTGTATTCTTCACACTTTAGTGTTGTCTCCTTTACTGGCTAAATAATGTCTGTCTTGTTTAGCAATTATCACAGCTTTGAAGTTGTTTCTTTTTCTTTTCTGTAGACATTTATGACAGTCAGTTAGGACATTTTGTAATTAGTAGACCCTTAAATTTTCTAACTTTTGGTTTTGTAATTTAGTTAGTAACCCTTTTACTTTTATTTATTTTTAGCTGTGTTATGTGAATTAGAAGAGATTGAATCAGGCTGTCTTTAGCATTTATTATATTCTCCAGTTAAGTTGCTGGTAAACATATTCAGAGTTTACATGATTCATAGTAGCAACATTGTGGCAGAATATCTAATCTCTGTGTTTCAATCAACTCATCTGTTTTGTCCTATTTTCCATCTTAAATTACAGTGCAAATGAGATCTTCTCCCTTCCAAAAAAGTAAAAAAAAGTACAAATTGATTGAGATTTAATTGGATCTGGTTGACAAATTAGTTATTTGAACTGACTTGGCGAGCACATCACATGTTGTGACTTGGCATCTGCTGTTGCTAAAAGTGTAGTATTGTTTATTAAGAAGGAAAAGGAATATGGAAAAGTAATCTACCAATACTAGCATGTTACATGAACCCAATGAATGAAGAACTACAAACTTTGAGAGTATTTTTGTTTATGTATATTATTGACCGTCAACCTTTCACTGTGAAAACGTATCTTGTTTTAGTGATAGTTATCTTAGATTTGCTACATTCATATTTATTGCTTTGTATGCATGCAGATGGCGTTGGCATAAATCCCCAGCAGAGCGCAGGTATGGCATTTCTTTATCATCTGTTTCTTTAACTTTCCACTGTGTTTGAAGAATCATCACATTTTCCTCTTCAAATAATAATTTCTGCCACAATTTTCTCCTTAAAAAGTTATTACTCAAGGGATAAATAAAACAATGTTACCCAAACATTTGGGATGCGTTTTTTTTTATTAAACTTAATGATATACTCGAAATGGTTGAGATTACTTGATTCACGTGTTTTGAGGTCGCGATTATGCGTTCCTGTAAAAGGGTTATACTTTTAACATGACATTGAATAAAATTATATAATATAGGTTGATGGTAGTTATCTTTCATTTGACATGCTGTTATATTTCATTTCTTCAGGCAATGTCTTCCTTAAGCATGGCTCAGAATTGCGCTTGATTCCGCGTGACAGGGTTGGTGCCTCTTAGACGTTACGGGTGTCTGACTGGATATCGACCCTTTTCACCAAATACATGAACTATTGTAACTTCATAGTAGACAATAAATACGATCCATGATGATTTCATAGTATTGAGATCAAAGTTGTCTTTTACCGATAAAGTTAGTTTCTTTTTTCAATAAAGATATAAATTTCTGGGAAAATTAGTAGTTAACTTCCATAGTCCTGTCAACTTGAATGGGAGGTAGCTCATTCCGTTGGACAATTTCACTTTTGCTACCCCGTCCCCGATGAAAACATAGCAAAGATGTGATGAAAATTGAGATAAATCAGGTCCGTATTCCGTAACACACGATCTCACCAATTGTTAAATCTCGTGGCGGTTCCTGTTACTCGTTGATTGTGTGGATGGGTTCTCATAAATCTATATCTATGTTAAGGATAGCCTGTCACTAGATTTAAGACTACTGATGAGGAAATCCGTAACAAATTCAAGTTGAAGATTAGTATTTATAAATTTTATTTCTGCCATGCAAAAGTGAAATATGGTTATTAGTTAAGTGACCTTTTAAACACAAACACAATGATTGTCCATTACTCTTGTAGTTGTACTACTGTTTAACAGTCACGCGCTGCAATCCAGGGTCTATGAATTTCTTTTGCCGGCTATTCATATGGTATGATGGAAACTATGCCTAGTGAAAGTGACCACAAAGGAATCATGGTGCCTTAAGTTAGAAAAATTAACAGAAAGTTCTCTCTACGTGTAACCCTTACCAGAATGATGTAGCTCACTACAGCAATCTCACACCAGTCGAATTGTCACATTCTCTCATACATATTCTGTCATCAGATTTAAATTATTTCCATGGGCTTTTAATCCTTGTGGAATGCTTTTACAAACTATTTATACAAATGAAGATGTTTTGAAATATATTATACCTTTCCGACTGTGACACATTTTTTTTTTACCGAACAAAAGTTGTTGTGAGTTACAGTGGTAGTTAGAATTAACATATATAGTGGAGTTAGAACAACTTCATTAAATAATTTTATTTTATTTTTTACTTTTAGGGAGATTGTTGTAGTCTTTTACACGGGTGATCTTTGTGGACTACAATACTCCTTATTAATTTTTTTTGGGTCATCGTAACATATAACAACTTTTTCTTTACACGGAGTGAGGTTACTATGGGCTATAGTGTCTCATTAATTTTTTTGGAGTTGCTATAATCAATAGCAACCTTTTTTTTTTCACCATTCATTTTGTCAATTAGAATGCATCACGTGACCTTGACAAACAAAATTTTTTTTTGGAGGTCACTATAATCTACAGTGACACCATTTTAACTTTTTTTTTCATCAAGCATTCTGCTAATCAGAATGTCACATAAGACAATTTTTTTTTTTGAGGTCGTTGTACTCCACAACGACACCATTTTAACTTTTTTTTTTCACCGTGCATTTTGTCAATTAAAATGCATCATGTACATTTTGCCAATTAAAATGCATCATGTGGCCTGAACGATACAAAAATATTGCGCATTCTACTAATTAGAATGCATCACATGGGCCCAAATAGTATAAAATCAATTTTTTACCCCACTATAAAAAGAATTTTACTCCTCACTTCGTTTTTGTTGTGTCTTCCCTTGTTCACTCTCGAATCTGGTTTCTCTATTATGGTCTCGTTCAGTGTTTCATTTTTTATAAATAAGTTGTTCCTATTATGATTTTCTTCGATACTGGTAAATAATTTATTTTGTTTTCTTATTGTTATGTTTTGTTATTTTTTTTAATTAGTAGTCGACGCTAATAATTTATTTGAAAGTTTATAAGAAAATTTAGATTTAAAAAAAGGTATTTTTTTTATTTTTACTATAATATGTTGAAAAATAAAATTACTTATTAAAAATGTTATAATATATTTAAAAAGATAATATGTTATTTTTTATTATAATATATTTAAAATTTAAAATATTTTGAAAATGTTATTATTATTATGATCTACAACGACACACAAATATAT